TTAGTCATACCCTGGCAACCTCTTCAACATCTAGAGTGACTAACTGGTGTAAGTTAGGACTCTGTTGTCCTTTACATGTACTGTGTACACAGCAAAACCAAACACAATGGGACAGTGGTTTCTTTTCCACCCATGGAGCACAATGGCTTGAGCTCTGCATGTCCTTCTCCTGGGAACCAGGGCCCAAACACAATGTGGTCAGCTCAGGAGGGGTGTGGCTATTCCTCCCCATGCAATGTTGCAAATAAATCCTAACCAAAAAAAAACGTATTTACATAATGTCTTGGTTTTACTACTACTTATAAAATACGTCAGGCACTTTAGAGCAGCTAGAAAGATATTTCAAAAAAATACTTGGCATTGTCAAACACACACACACACAGGGTGGGTGGGTGGGGCTTGAAATGAATAAAATGCATGGACCATAGTTAGAACATCAAAAAAGACGTCTTCTGTATACAACCAATCTGGCTCTGGACCTCTTCTTCCTCCAGCTGGGTCCTCTAACTACGGAACACACAAGGACGAGTGTCACCCCTGGGGTCTTTCTAGAGGTGGCCTAAACAAGTCCATTTCAAAGTCACGTCTAGAAGACACATCTACTGCTGCGGGCTACAGGAATATATCCTAAGAACTCAGCTGGTTATGGCAAAGTCACTACCTGGAGGGATCAGGGAATTCCTCCAGAGGAAGCCAAATTCCAAGGAGTTTTTGGTGTTACTTGGCTTGTTATATATCAGCTGCATTCTGTTATGAAAATCATGTGTGCCTTCATAGTTTTTCCAATTGACTTTCCCCTAAGAAGGGCTAACAGTGTGGACTGATCACTCTCTGGACATACACATTCCAGGTATTTGGAGAACAGCCTCAGGAAAGGCTTTCTCTGGAATCAGATTATCCCCCTTAGCCACTTTCAAGGACTACAGGAAACACCACCCAGGAGGGCACCCATTGTTAGTCCCAGGTGGACTAACAATGATAACAGCCCACATGCAAGTCTCCTGACTTACGGGAAAATCCACAAGGAGACGCCGCCTAGGAGAGGTGAACGTTAAGTAATAGCTTTACACAATTTAGCTCGGACCCTCCCTTTATATACCAGGACTTCTAGGGCACAGGACAGAGAAGAGAAAAGAGAATGGAAGAACTAGATGGGTAAAAACTTGAGAGAAACAAACTGAGATGGGGAAGAACTGGATTGAAGGGCTAAAAGAGAGGACTAGAGGAACGAGATGGAAGATGAGGAAGAGCCAGATGGGGAAGAACAAGATGAGGAAGAACCAGATGAGAGAGAAGGAGACGGGATAGGAGCTGATAGGGGAAAGAACTAGATGGATGAGAACCTAGAAGGAACATGAGAGCAGAATAAAAGCTGTGTAGAGAGAGAACTATTACAGAATAATAAAGTGTATGAACTAAGGAGTTTCGTGTACATAGATTCACTTCTTTTCATCAAAGATTAATTATCAGCTGGTTGTAGATTCTTCCCGGACCCTGGGAGGGGACTATCGAGGGGCTGGACCCCCATAGTCTCCGATAATCTACCATGTTTTTAAGGACAACTAGGTACACATGTGATTTCCTACCTCTACTTTGCCCTGCGACGGCAATCTCTACTGCTAGAGATGTCCAGATTTAGCCAACGGTCTCTCTCAAAGGGTCAGGGATAAGGTTGAGAGCAGCTTTTTTATATTATATACAAGGCCCTCTACGGCGGCAGGTAAATCTGGGCCGCATTTCCTACTGGGCGCATGCGGATGTCACGTCCCGGCTTCTCTCGGGTGGAAGGAGGACCCAGGACCGTTGGGCTTGGCTCGCCTTCCTCCAGGACCGTCGAGGGTGGCCTCTGTTCATCCAGGTCCCCTCCCAGTGATGATCGAGTCCCCCCTTCCCCCCCAGTTGAAGGGCCAACCTCGGCCTTCCGGTGGTTGCCATGTCACGACCACGGACGCTTGGAGATGTTCTGGGGTCGCCGCCACCGAGGAAGAGTCGCTGCAGGATCGCGGCTCAGCGGCGGGGCAGGTGGCTGCTGTGAGTGTTTGGGGGCCGAGGGGCATCCAGAGGTACAGGCCGGAGTTCGTGGGGGGCCCAGAGGAAGGAGGCCGCACTCCCTAGCTCGCCAAGCTCTCTGTCTGAACTCAAGTCCCACAGTCTTTAGAAATTCAAACACTTAGAAATTCAGTCCCTTCAGCTGACCTGAACTGGGAGCTCAAGAACTCTAGACGGGCTGACAGCTAGGGAGCCTGGATTTAGGTCCTCTGCCATGTGGGTGACAGTTGTGTAGCTTGGTTTGTTTGTAGGGCCCTAGCAGTGGAACCGGGATCTGTTCCTGGCGCATGGGCTGGCTTTTTGGAACCTCTTCCCTATAGTGGGATGCATCGTTCAGCCTTGATGCAGCGGGGAGGGGCTTGGTCCTGCCTCAACTTGATGTGCCATCTTTGTTCACTCCGGTGGGAGGCCTGCCCCTTTCTGAGGACTGGGTAGGGGGGTGCATAGAATGGAGTTGGGGGGAGGAAATGGGAGCAGAGGAGGGAGGGAAAACTGTGGCTGATATGTAACATAAATAAAACAATTTAATAAAAAAAAAAAGAACTGTAAAATAATTCAGTCTCTTTAAAATCCAAAGTATTTTAATATTTAAAGTCTCTCAACTGTGGGTTCCTGTAAAATAAAAACAAACAAACAAACAAACAAACAAACAAACAACTTTTTACTTCAAGAGGGAAGAACCAGGGCACAATCACAATCTGAACAAAGCAAACCAAATTCCAAAAGTGCATGTGACTCAATGTCTGATTATCTGGGATCCACTCACGATCTTCTGAGTTCCTCTAAGGAGCCTGGGTCAATTCTTTGGCTCTGCCCTCTGCAGCACACACAGCTTGTCTTCTAGGCTCCAGCTGGCTCCACTCCACTGCTGCTGCTATTCGTGGTGGTCATCTCACTGTACTGGCATTTCTAAGACACTGGGGTCCCTTGCTGCAACTGGGCCACACTTTCACCAATAGCCTCTCCCGGGCTCTTTACATGATGCCAAGCCTCAACTTCTCTTCATGACCCCTTCAGTTGTGGGGCTTCAACTAATCCCGAGGAGGCTGCACCTTCACCAATGGCCTCTCCTGGTCTCTCACGGTGCCGAGCCTCAGATGCTCTCCCTGACCCCCTCATGCCTTCAGAACCAGTATCACTTGGGTGACTCTTATACTACCAAGTTCAGCTGCCAGCATGAGGTACAACCTTGTCTGCCCCTGGAACACAGCTTCTGTGTGCTGACCCTGAAGAAACACCTCCCAGAAGATTTCACCTCAAAGACTCTGGTCTCTTGTTAATCACAGCTGAGTCTTCAGCCCCAGCTGGCCAGACACCATAGATTCTTCACACAAAAGGCCTGGCAGCGTCTTTACTTCCCTCTGGAACGTCATAAGCCAGGCTTCTACCCTCTGAACTGCTCTCAACACTCTGATCTTCCAAAGTCGTCTGGAACATCCCCCAGAGCTCTTAACACTCAATGGCTTTTCTTGCCCAAAGTTCCAAAGTCCTTCCACACTCCTCCCCCAGACAAGATGCTCAGGTCTGTCACAGCAGTGCTCCATGGTCTTGGTACCAGTTTCTGTTCCTGGTTAGGGTTACTATTGCTGTGATAAAGCACCATGACCAAACAAACTTGGAGAGAAAAAGGTTTTGTTTCAGCTCACACTTCCAGGTAACAGTCCATCACTGAAGGAAGTCAGGGCAGGAACTCAAACACAGCAGGAACCTGGAGGCAGGAGCTGATGCAGAGGCCATGGAGGGTGCTGCTTACTGGCTTGCTCTTCATGGCTTGCTCAGCCTGCTTTCTTATAGAACCCAGGACCAGCAGCCCAGAGATAGCACCTCCCACAATGGACTGGGCCCTCCTCCATAAGACACTGATTAAGAAAGTGCCCTACAGCCAGATCTAGTGGAATTATTTTCTCAATTGAGGCTCCCTCCTTTCAGATAACTCTACCTTGTGTTAAGTTGATATGAAACTGGCCAGCACAGTGTTATGTGTCTTTGGTTTTACATTCCCTTGTTACCCAAGCTAGGTCAGTCCTTAAGCCAAGCAGATCACAACAATCCAAACTGGTCAGAATGCAGATAATACCTTTAGGGGTGTACAACCCCAAAATAATACATCTACAATGCAACCCGTACATCGAAGGTTCAGGGAACATCAGGGAAGAGGGAGAGAAAAGATGCTGAGAGCCAGAGGAGCAGACCTGGAGGCTTGCTGTGAAACAGGGTCTTCCAGACATGATACAGATGATGCACTCATGAGATCTCAACACAGGGCCATCTAAACAAGACCTGCATGGACCTGTTAGTATACTAATATGTATGCGGGGAATTCCACAAGGTTCTACCTTTAGATGAAGAGTTATAGGCAATCAATGGCTGATGAGAAGGGAGAATCAGTTTTCTCCAGAGATGAGCTCCCTGTTAAGTGGTCATCCCTAAACACACATACACATGAGTCACACTAAATGGACTCAGTAGGTTTCAAATAACACACACACACACACACACACACACACACACACACACACACACACGTAACGACAGAAGACAAGGCTATGAATTTTAGCTGGGGGACATGGGAGGAGTTGGAAGGGGGAGAGGAGGGATGGGAATAATATAAATCCAGTATGAAATTCCTTAAAAATTTAAGTGAAAAAAGAAGACACGTTGTTGGGGATGGGATGGGAAGGTGGGTGTGGGTATTGAAGAAGTTCGGAGGAAGAGTGGGGGGCGAATATGATTAGAAAACATTTTATGAATTCCCTAAAGAATTAATAGAAATACTTAGAAAAATAGGATACCAGTTCAGGGGTTATAACTCTTAACTACGTAACTTAGGGAAGAAAGTTGCGTTAGGAATATTAGAGGGTACAGCCAGGCCAAGATGGGCCATATGTTTTAGACATAAACTTTATCTATTTAATATAGTTTTACATTCTTTTTCATTCTTAGCATAGCCAGGGAGAGTGCCACAGGCCGACCTTTAAGGCAGTGCTCTAAAACGCTGCCTGAAGTTCCAGTGCTTGGCCACACAGACTCTGTTCCTGCCACTCCGTGCCATCACTCCAGGCAATGCAGGCATTTCCCCAAGGTCCTTCTCACAGCCGCCTTCACCTCCTTGTTTTTCAGGCTGTAGATGAGGGGGTTCAGCATGGGGGTGACTGCGCTGTACTGCAAGGAGGAGAGCAAATCTAGGGAGGACCCAGAAGTGGGCACGAGATAACGCACCAAACCCGATCCAAAAAACAGGACCACGGCCACGAGGTGGGAAGAGCAAGTATTAAACGCCTTGCTCCGCCCTGTGGTGGATTTCATGCTCAGGATGGTGGAGACAATGCGGGCATAAGACAAGAAGACCGGGAGAAAGGTTCCCAGTCCATGCAGCAAGATGGTGCAGATCAAGATGTCAACGTTGATGGAGACATCAGAGCAAGAGAGAGGAAAGAGAGAGGGCAGCTCACACATATAGTGGTGTATGGTGTAGGCCTCACAGAAGTCCAGGTTCACAGCCAAGAGCACAATGACCACCGAGCTGAGAGAGGCCAGGCCCCAGGAGAGCAGAACCAGCTTCAGGCAGAGTTCATCGCTCATTATCTGGCCATAGAGCAGCGGGTGGCAGATGGCTACATAGCGGTCGTAGGCCATCATTGAGAGAAGAAAGGCTTCGGTCCCCGCAGTGATGAACACGAAGAAGACCTGAGCCAGGCAGCCCTCTACTGAGATGCTTTTCCTCTCAGACAGGAGGTCCTTCAGCAGCTTCGGTATCGTGACGGACGAGAAGCAGAGGTCCAGGAAGGACAGGTTGCTTAAGAAGAAGTACATGGGCGTGTGGAGGTGGGAGTCAACCCCAATCACCAGCAGCATCGTCAGATTCCCCGTCATGGTGAGGAGGTAAATCCCCAGGAAAAGCGTGAAAAGTAGAGCCTCGATCAGGGGGTCGTCAGAGAGCCCCGTGAGAAGGAACTCTGTGATGGCGCTGTGGTTCCTCCAGGCCATTTGTGGATGGTACTTCCTTGGAATAAAGCAGAAAGAGGTTACATCTCTGATGATTGTGACCATGTCCTTTGGGGGGGTCATCCCATCTGGTCCATCCCTCCACTTTGCCGGGACCCTGCTCAGCTATCTCAGGGCTGCCCTCCCTTGTATCTCCGTGGAAGTTTCAAACCCTGTTTTGTCATCTTTGATGGCAGTTCACAGTGTTCACAGACTTCAAGAGGATTCTCTCCATTCCTCACTCATTTGCAGGGAGAGTATCTCTGGGTCCTCCATTTACTAATAGTCTTAGTTTTTTCCTGCACTCAGTTCAGAAATTTGAAAATGTATAGCACAGGTTTGCAGGGTCTGATCTCTCTTTCTCTCTCTCTCTCTCTCTCTCTCTCTCTCTCTCTCTCTCTCTCTCTCTCTCTTTCTCTCCTTTTTGGTTCAAAGTAATTCAATGGCTCCTTACCAGGGCTGACTCCAATGGGGCAACTCTGACACAGTGCCCAGGGTCATGGCCTTTCAGTGGCAGGTGAAAATATATTTCTATAAGATTAGAAGTAGCTGGGTGCAGTAACGAAGACTTACGATCTCAGCAGTTTAGAAGCTAAGGCAGGAGGATGGCTATGAGTTCCAGGCCTTGGGCTACATATGTATTACTAGGCTAATCTCAAGTACAAAATGAAATGTTACCTCAAAAAAAGAAGGAAACAATGGATATAACAAGACTAATTTAATTATCCTTATGACACTGTAATAGAAATATAAATTATTTTTATGGGAAGAGGGACCCATAAAGGCAAAAGCAGCTGTCATGGACGGAAGTCCCAGCGACCTCACGGACAGCACACTGCAGCCGAGCTGCACAGAGAACACTTCCTCAGTCGCTCTCTCAGCTGCTTTCAAAGAAAACCTGTGAGTGAGGCAGGAAACCCTCATCCCTAGGATACAGAGTTTTGTTCCTACTTTCCTGTGAGAACTTTGGTACCCAGGGGTATATGGTAATGTCAGCTTGGCAACATGTAAAAAAAAAATAATAATAATGACGCCGTTTTCCTTCGACTGTGGACTCTGCCTCGCTGGGATCACAGTGATGAATTACAACTTCTTACTTGGATATCCTTCACCCGCCTCTCATCTTGCAGCCATTTTACTTATTTTTGATATAAAAGAAGATTTGCTTCTTTCTGTGTCACTGTTGGTGTTTTCTAGCACTTTAAATATACCCTCCTTTTAATTTTACAAATCTAAACCTCCACGGGCTTTCCAATGTCACCTCAAAGACTACATAAAAAAAGAGCCTATCTTGGTGACTTGCTTCTTCAGCCCACACTTTGTCTCGCTTTAGTCATGGTCTGAATCGTGTTTCTCCCCCCAGGTCAACACGCATTTCAGTTTCCTTCCCCAGACCGTGATGCAGACCTTACTACAACAACTATCTTAAAGCATCGCTTTCTTTGGTCACCGTC